TGGACCCCACCGTTTCCTTAGTGTCCCCACTTAGGTCCTCCACAAGACTATAAACCCTACCCTCCCCAGCCAGGCGGTGCGACTTCCCGGGCCCCTTTCAGGGACCCGTGAACCTCACCGGGGCCCCTCTCGGGGACCGTAAACCTCCCCCGGAAACTCAGAATAAAAACTTCTCTTTAACCTCACTTTTGTGCATCCTCTTTTCCTTACTGTGGCCTTACATTAGGCACTATGCTATAAGAGCTCCCAAACAATTGTAGAAGGTACATATTATTTGTGTAAAAAAATACGATAATTCAGTGAAGATAATATATATAGGCTTTTTTTTCCCAGTAATTTTAACACTTAGCTCCTTGATGATCATGTGGAAGTAACAATGAATTATTTTAAAGCACCAAGGTAGCAAATCACAGAACAAACTCATATCATGGATCCGTGATATGATACACTAAGAAGGATACATCTATTTAAAGTAATTCTAATAACAAAGAAATGAGCTCTGGTAGCATAGTGCCTAAGGCATTTGACTGCTAACCAGAAGGCTGGTGGTTCAAACCCCACAGCCACTCTTTGGAAGGAAGGTTGGGCAATCTATTTCCGTAGTGATACTGCCTCGGAAACCCAAGGAGGGGTTGCTCTGTGTTGGGTCCGACTCAACGGCACATAACAACAACAACAACAATCATGAAGAAACATCAGACAAATTCACCCTGAGGGATATTCTGCAAAATAATTTTTATAAATGCATCAAAAATGTCCATTTTCAGGGGGACATAGAAAGTCCAAGGAGCTGTTCTAGAATGAGATGAAGAGTCAGAACAACTGAATTCAGTGTGTAATCCTTGACTGGATGTTGGATATGAAAACTATTTATAAAGGACATTATTGTTACAGCTGGGACAATTTATATATGGACATACATTAAATGATAATATAGTATCAAATGGGATAAGTGTATTGTGGTTGTGTAGAAAAATGTTCCTGTTTTTAGAAGTCAGATGTTGAAATATTTAAGGGTGTAAGGGAATTGTAAATTGAGGTACCTGGTAAAATCTTAAATGGCTGGCTTGAGGTTTGAGATTGACTCCATTTTTCAGTCTTGTTTTCACTCTTTCAACAGCCATGTTCTGTGTTGTTAAGAAAATGTTTTCCTTTGTGATAAAGTTAAGGATGTAAAAACAATGTTTCAGAGAGGAAACCTAGGTGCCCCCCACTTATCTAAAGCCGCCAGACAAATACCCTCAGGCAAAGTTCTGCTAGAGCAGGATGTTTCTAAGGAAAGAATGCCTTGTAATTATCATGTTACAGGTGACTGAAGTCCCCTCTGATGAACTTCCTTGCAATGACCATGCTGTCACCAATCTAAGAAAGATACATATATACTTGAAGCCAATCGCTTTATGAGTTCCCACTACAGGAAGTCTTGCCTTAAAAGCTTCACCCATAGGAAGTCTTGCCCTGTCATGATCTAAGTTTTTAACTATCAATGGAATGGTGTACTTGCTGATGATCTAATATTGCAACTACCAATGAAATAGTGTGCTTCTAGTTCTTTGTTCTCCACATACAAAATGCCCCACAGCTTTGCCATTTTGAATGGCTGGCTTTCACTCAGGAATTCACCTTCTACCTGATGCATACTGGCTCTTTATTTTCAGTAAATATTTTGATTTTATTTTAAACAGAGTATGGGTTGTTAGAGAGCTCTGGTGGCGTAGTGCCTAAGGCACCTGACTGCTAACCAGAAGGCTGGTGGTTCAAACCCACCAGCCACTCCTTGGAAGGAGGGTTGCGCATTCTACTTCTATAGTGATCCTGCCTCGAAAACCCAAGGAGGTTTGAGTCAGATCTGACTTGATGGCAGTTTGGGTTTGGTTTATAGGTTGTTAGTCTAGGCCAGAGTTGAAATGTCCCACGTTTGCAGCAAATTCTCAAATAGTTCAGACCAGAGAGAGAGGGAGAGAGAGAAAGAGAGAGCGTGAGGGATAGCAAACATGATGAAATATATATATATGTATCTATCTATCTATCTATCTATCTATCTAAAATAGTAAGACACAGTGAAGATACTGAACTACTCACATAATTTTTAGAAAAATCATTTAATTTTATATGGCTTGGAGTAGAGAACTAAACCTCTAAAAACGTTTTTTTTTTTTTAAAAAAAAAAAAAAAAAAACCTACCCTTGAAATGAAACTTTCAAAGTGAAACTTGCCTGGCTCCAGACAGTATTTTTCCACAGAGTCAAGTGAAAATGCAGATCCAGGTTAGAGAACTATCGTGCTACAAATGTGGCAACACCTTTTTTATTTAGAGTAAGATGTGTTAACATCCAGCATGACAAAATTTGTACAAAGTTCACAATTTAAAAATGAAGTATCACAGCAACTTGTGATTCCACACATTTATAGCAAAATTAAAATGTCAACAAATCCATGCCGTGTAGTACAAAAATAAATCAAACTTCAGTTCCACAGAGAGCACAATAAATAGTTTATACAAAATTCTGTCTTAATAAATGATTACTTAAATTAACTTAGAAATGAATATGAACAATAAGTTATAATAAATAAACTCTGATGACTCACAATAATTCCATATGAAAGATCAGCATTCTAATATGTGACACTTTTGTGATCCCTATATAATAGTCACAGATAACTTTTGATTTGATATTATGTACCAACATTAGATGAGCAGCAGATTTGTGCTTAAAATCCCTTTCCATTGTACATAGGTGATAACAATAAGAATCCAAAACTGATACTATCTATTACTCTACTAAAAGCATTACTATATTGGCAAAGAAGCTGCAGACACAATGCAGTGGGGAAATGCATATGCCATTATGAACAATGGAGGGCCCTAAAAGGAGGGTAGGGCCCTGGACAATATATATGGCATCAGGTGAACAACAAGCACCTTGCTTCAGCTCTCAAAAAGGCAATTCTGAGCATGGCAGCTACAACTAATAGCACAACAGAAAGAGGGCGCTGTACAGAGAAGATACTGCAGAGCCCCAAAGTAATTACATAATCTTTTTCCCAGCTAGTTATTAAAGTCCTTGTGGAAAACTGTAAGCTTTTGTACAGTGAACAGTATAAAGTGCCGCTGGGATATACATATATTTATACATATATATATATACCGAGGTTGAGTATTGTATCAGAATATTTGTTGTGAGATCCCTGTAGTCTCCCTTAGCAATATTATTGGATCAGCCATGAGGGCTTTCTCTATAATTTGTCCAGGTTCAGTGTCACAAGGCTAATGACACAGGAATTGCACACCTCCGTACGGATATATAGGACAAGGTAAGTGCAAATAGTCAACTGGCACATTGTGGGGACAATGACCCTGTAAGTCCTGTTCTGCTAAAAATATTTTTTTTTTATTTTTACAAAACCCATCTTTTTTTCATAACAAAATTTTAAAGTACTTTTGTACTTTCTGCATAACATCAAGACATGGAAGGAAAAGAGATGCTATTAAATGTAAATCAAGTTAACATCAGAAAGCACAATACATCATCAAAGGTACTACTCAAAAGGGAAAAATGCAGCAATAAAAAGTGGTCTTATGCATACATATAGTGCAGTCATTTGGAATAAAACAATCAAATCTTGAAGGTATAAACAAGTCTAAAATGATCTAGTTTAAAGCAAAAAAAGTGCTGAAGTATATTTAGTTACTTTTAAAATCTGATTGCATTCATTCTTAGAATAGGTCACAATAAATCAAACAACAAGGCTATGTCAATGCTATATGGTCAACTGACTCCAACAAAAGTTAGAACATAAATGGCATTTTAAGGATACTCTGAATAGAACCGAAAGTTTATTCAAAGCCAAGATTGGGATGGGGGAATGGGGGAGAGAGAAACTTTACTGAACAGTGTTTCCTACCCAATCCAGCAGAAAATTCAGTCCAGTAACTAGAATACTCACAAATCATTTGTGTTGCTCCCCCGAAAGGTAAAATAAAGATAATAATAAATCTTAAAAGGTAAAAGGGGAAGTAAATGCTCTTGAATTATGTTTTAATTTAAATCGAAAACACACAAATTCTGTTTAACTACATTGAAATAACAGGCAGTTCAGAGGGGCACAAAACTCTAGGGGAGATAAGAGAAGGTTGTTCCATAGTTTATTGAAAATAAAAAAGGAAATCTTCATGTTGTCCACCTCTGATAAGTTCCTGTCTTAACTGAAGTTTCCGTATTCACACCATGTAATGCTTAGGAGTTAATTTAAAAGTGCTGTTTAAGCTGCTTTGAATCTTCTGTCAAGTTTCCATGGCTTGATGTTGTCTTACAATAAATTACTTATTTCATTTCTTACAGTTAATCCATGTCATTTCCTTGGAATTCAAAAAACCTCATTTATTGCCCCCACCATACACCATCCTCCTAAAACAAACAAACAAAAAAATCACATAATATTTCCAAGCATTGTTCAAAAATAAAGCATTTTTGCAACCAATTCTTGCTATGAAACAATATGCACACAAAATGTATTTCTTAAATTCCATAAAATCCTCCAACATGAGGCAAAATGATAGTGTTTTAAAAAGTGGCTGCAGGACTGCAACATTGTCATTCAAAGCTGTTTTTTTTTTATTTTTTTGTCCATTTCAGTTCAAAATACTAAAACATTTAATCACTAAAGCATTAAAAAGAATTTACACTCTATTTATTTTTGATCAGCTTACCTCTTCAGAAATATATATACCCCAAAAATGTGCATACATTAGCAGCTATAAACATTACATGGCATATCACACTATGTCAGCTTATATGAAAACGTACAAAATGTGAATGTATTCAAAAACTATTCTGCAGTTACTATCTTTAAAGCAAGACATAAAATCATTATGAAGTCTTGTAAGCATAACACTGTTTCAAACAGAAATAAATATATAACACTTTCTGGTAAATTACAGCAGCAAAAAACAAGAGGCATCCTTTTTTAAGCAAGATTTTCATCACTAGAGCAGCTGTTCAGACCTGAATTCCTCTCACAGCCTGCTTTATATTTTCCAGTAGGGCTTTATTTTCTGGACTCTGATAACGATCTTGATTTGTATACATGTCCGTCAAAGTAGTCACGTAAGCATCAAAATTTTGTTCATTGATTGGATCCTACGAGATATTAAATAGTAGTTCATACACAACTTTTATTTTTTTAATAGTATATTCACATAAGCATAAAATAGTATAATAGCATAGTGCCACCGTTTCATAATATTTAAAATGCCTATTTAGAGCATACTTAATTTTATGGGATACATTGGATCAGCCCCACCAATGTTTTTCAGCAGTTAACTTTATGGTTTTGGGGTGGTAACCACAAATATCCAACGGTTGAAGAACCATAAAAATAAATAATAATTAAAAAGACATCTATTTTATGTTGTGAACTGTGGAAGATCGCCAAATTCCTTATCTTGCACTCTCAATCACTTACCATATGTGGCAGCTGGATATTAGCTAGACTATGAATTAAAGACTGGCTTAAATTGGCCAGTTCATGAAGAAGAGACTCATTTTGCTGTTCAATTACTTTGTTCTCCTCTTCTATCGTCTTCAGGTTGCTCTCCATTGTGGTAATCTAAAATGCACAAATTTGTGTAACATGTAATATAAGGCAAGCCGTTAGGGAAGCATGCGCTCTTGCAGTGAGTGACAACAGTCCTATCAGATGCAAAGAAAGAACCTTTTTGCTTCAAAGTGAAGATTTTTTCTCATTTTAAGGGTGTATTGTATGCTTCTGATTCATTACACTTGAAAATTTGGCAACTTGACTGTAACGGCTTGTCTTTCTGAGGTGGGATTTATGTAAGCTAGGCTCCTGAGCTGTCTCTACTTTCTTTCAATTTTTAAAACATTCTGTTTGTCATTGCATATATTATGACTACTTTCTCTTAATACTATAATATTCCCTTCACTGGCTTGATGGAAATAATTGTACAATTATACAAAAAATTGTATTATTTATTTTGTTACTACTTCACTGACTTGCTCCTAACACTAACTAACTCTTTTTTAGCCTGAACCTAATTTGATAATGTCACTAAGCAGTGCAAACTGTTAATGCTTTCAGCTTTGAACCTAAGAGTTGGAGGTTCAAGTCCACCCAGAGGCTTCTAGGAAGAGAGCCCTAGCAATATACTTCCAAAAAATCAGCAACTATAAACCCTATGAAGCACAATTCTATTCTCACTCACACATAGGGTCACCAGGAGTCAGAATCAACTCAGCAGCAACTGGTTAATTCTAAAAATTTATTTGTAGAGCATGGGGTATGTTACTGTCTTCTTAGATAAACGCCAGGTAGGCATTGGCTTTTATCTACATATGATGGTATTAATTCTTTTACAGATCAGATAAAGGCCTTTCATGACTTCCTGTCCCACTCTTTCCTCCTCTACGTATTCCAGACAGAATTATTGACAAGGTAAAGGATCCTTTAGTGTGGTGACTCCCTGGCCTCCCCTTTATAAACCAGACACACTACTATTCACAAAAAAAATTTCCAAATATGGCACTAGAGTTGCCCAATGACAGTCTCTGCAATTTGCATCACACAGTGTAAGCCATAAAGGCATAATGGCCCCAAGGTGTGTGTCTGGATTCATCTTTGTCTTCTAACTGATCCAGAGGGCCAATATCTCCCTTGCCCCTCCTGCTCCTTCCTTCTACTTCCCCTACTTGTTACTCTTGAATTCATCTCTCATGAGCTTCTCTTTCCCTCTTTCCCCTCTACCTCATATTTTCCCACAATCCTTCAGTATATTTAGTTTGCCCTTTTTTTTTTTTTTTTAAATCTCATGCTTTCTCTCTTTATTTGAGAACTTCCTAATATGAGTACCTCTTATCTATCATTCACCAATCTCATCCCCAGGCTCTTTGTTAAAAACCAGTGGTCCCACTTTTTGTAAATACCCTTCAGGTAATGCCTGTGTTATGTGTGGGGTTTCTCCCTTTGAAAGGGATCAGATGTTCACACTGTTCTCTCAGGGACTTGGCCCTATAGAAGATCCCTCAATATCATGTGGATTTATTTCAGCACACTTATAATGTACAACTCTCACATTTGTTTTTATTGTAATTATCAAATTAATGTTCCCATCTCAACTGACTCGATGAATAAGAATAACAAGCTCATGAGTAGGTGTATGGGCTGATCCACCTAGCCCAGGCCCTATAGTTAGGCCCCAGAAGGGCAGCTTTTTCTTATTTTGTTTTTCAAAGTGGATTTTGTAACTCTCTACAGGGGATTCTGCGCTACATTCAGAGCTGTTACGCTCAGAATTGGTCACGTGGGTCAGTTACTGGAGAATATCAATTTGAATAGATGGGGCTTTTCCATGTTTGAACTATAACTTTGGGAGGTGGCATAATTATCACATGGTACATGGGTTTTTAATTAGAAGGAGAATGAAGAGGAAACATACAGGGGAGGAGGCAGTTGGTGGATGGGTAGAAGGAGTGGGTCCAACAAGGATTTACACAATTACTAAGAAGAGAGCAGTCATTCCTCACCTTTGCAACTGGCAGTTCTCCATAACAATAATGCCTTGGTGCTAGCCCCGTGCCTCAGCTCCTCTGACTTGAGTTGCCAGTTCCCTCTGTCTTCAGAAAATCTTTCTGGGCTACTCTAGCCCTACCGGCCTTTTGCCATTATGCTGCTCTTCAATTATTTTGTGTGTCAGTCTCATTTCCATGAGAAAGGAGATGGTAATTTAAAAGACAATGAGGGCAAGGAATATGCGTTAGGCTATATCTTGGGCTTCTTTGTATCCCCAATTGTTAGGGTCAATTTAACCCTTGCTGCCTGTCTGACTGCCCAAAACCAGTATTAATGTTGGCACATTTTAGATAAATTTCTCCTTCGACCTGTGTTATTTGCTGAAAAATCTACAGCCCTCTGAGAAGGGTGAAATGTCTCCCTGTGCTCTGTATATCTAAGAAATGATTGTCATAACTTTCCACCTTGTTTGATTAGAGTTGATAGCAAAGGCTCTACACCAGGCTGTGTGAGCCTACTTATAAATTCTTTGCCCTTCTCAAGAGTAGAACAAGTATTTTGTTGGCTCCACTCATTGGTGTACAAAACATGCAGATTAATCCAATGCACATTCAAAACATTTGTTACAAAAGGCACTGGTGCTCGCTGGATGCCATAAGTGATATATGTCAGGGTGTTTTTTTTTTTTTTTTGCTTGTTGTTGTTGTTCTTATTGCTTAGGAAAATTATAATCTTCTGAACCAGAGCAGCATGCCAAACCCATGCCAATTTTCAGAGGGGAGGTCAGAAAACATAGACTTTACCATCTTAAAAAATATATTGAGTCTCATAGCTTAACTCTGTCAAATTATATCAATTTATCTCTGAATTATCTGACTCTCCAACTCATAAACTTAAACTAGAAACTAAGTGTCTCACCTATTTTGTTACCTACTCATATTCACTTACCTAGTGCCTTTCCCTAGGATTCTAAAAAATTGAGAGTATAAGTGATGCTATTTGCTTCAGCCAGAGCAGTTGGGGGGAGCTCTGGTAGCATAGTGCCTAAGGCACTTGACTGCTAACCAGAAGGCTGGTGGTTCAAACCCACCAGCCATTCCTCAGAAGGAAGATGGGGCAATCTACTTCTGTAGTGATACTGCCTCGAAAACCCAAGGAGGGGTCGCTATGAGTCGGGTCCAACTCGACGGCACATAACAACAGAGTAGTTGGGCAAATCTTGGGTACTTTTTCCGGAAAATAGGAATAACAATACCTGCCTGATGTGCATCTCATATAGAGATATGCAAAGTGTTTTGCAGTAAGAACACATTTGTTATTCCTGGGGCTTGGAATTCAGTCCAAGGGGTCCAAACTAAAGCAAAACAACCTAGGAACTCTTGATGTTGGCCAACACAACATGGTGGTAATAGAAAATAGAACACTGCTGAGAAAGGTGATGAAAAACATGTATGTCATTAGCACTTCCTATATAAGGGGGCCATCATCTGAAGAAAGAAACTAATCTATGCTCTTGGAGGGGGTTGCAGAATGAGAGGACAGAAGGATACCTTAGTTTCAAAATATTCTAGAGTGATCATGGGAACAAGATGTTCCAGCAATGTCTAGAATTGAAAAAAGGGCAGTGGGGTGGGGGGCTAAAGGTGGTTCTGCTCATAGGTATTTATACAAGGAAAAGGCTTGGCATAGAATACAGAGCAATAGGGCTTGGATTTAGGAGACCTAGGTTAGAATCCTGGTTCTGCCTGTCATTAGCAGTATGCTCCCAGGACACCCTGTAACTTTTCTTAGCCTCAGGGAAAGGAAGAAATTTGTCATTTACCATTGGCAGCATTTCCATTGTACTAATCTGAGTATAAGGAGCTCTGGTAGTGTAGTGCCTAAGGTACTTGACTGCTAACCAGAAGGCTGGCGGTTCAAATCCACTGGCCACTCTTCAGAAGGAAGGTTGGGCAATCTACTTCCGCGGTGATACTGCCTCGGAAACCCAAGGAGGGGTCACTATGAATTGGGTTCTACTCCACGGACAAAATAATTCTTTCCAATTCTAAAGGCCCTTAGAACTTCCATGGGTCACACTCAGTTTTACATATCTCACTCTGCCTGATGTTATGATTACTCCCATGCTTATCTTAGACTTATTTTGTATACCTTAGTGGACACTTATAACCAGTAATTTCTATACATTACATGAGGGCAGAGAATGTATTTTACGCCTTTGACACTCTATGCTTGAGTCCGTGTAAATAAGTAGTCAATAAATGTTTTTTGGTATGAATTGAGTTGAACTGGGGTGATAAATTTACTGATAAACCTCTTTGGGGTATAATTAGTACTCTTGTGGAACCCAGAATAGCGGCTTTTGTAGGCCCAGCATTGGGGCCTAACAGGTCGTAAGCACCTCAAAGTATGTGTTGCACTGAATTCAGTTGAAGTGAGACTGGGAAAATGGCTAGCTTCCAAGCAATTTTGACAGTTCTGCTGGTGCTGAACGGCAATGGGGGCAAAGCCTAATGCAGAGATTCTGTAATGGGACAGGAATTTGTGTTTCTGACCCATGCATGTGTCAAGGTAAACATCCCTTCTGAGTGCACTGCAGAGCATAATAATGCCTGAATTTTCAGGGGCAGTGAAGTTGTTTGGTTGTACTAATTTATCCCAAAACACTTGACCTTAAATACTGTTCACACACATTCCAACTCAGTGAAATCAGCTATTCAATTAAATAAAGGTGTATTTGTTCTAGCTTTGAATTCTTACAACTGGGTAGTGAACAAAACACATTTGACACTTTAATAAGCATAGCTCTTGGGTTAGAGATGGCAACATTAACACCTTTCTATTAAGAATGGCAGGGGAGATTGTTTCACCCTGGGCAGATATTTGAAATTCATGAATGATTTGATCAAGCTTCTTTTTTCCTTTCTCTGTAATTTCCCCTACTCTCTAAGAAATATGACATGTATAGTATACAAAATCGACCACCTAGGGCTAACATGAAAAGTAGGACTTGGAAATAAATTTAGCTAAGCAGTCATTTCTTTACTTTTTATCTTTGGCTGAGTTGTCTAGAGGAGAAA